CTCACCTATAAATACAATTTTAGCTAAATCACAAGAACCACCCCTTGAAATAAGAAGATCAATGCTATGCTTTAAAAAAAAACTTTTTTTTTTAATTAGTTGAATGGCTGTGGTAGAAACCAATTAGCCAGACTTTTGTTTCTATTCCACGAATACTCAATATTGTTTCAAATCTACAAATACATGTTATTATTAATTTTTTTTGTTAATTATTTTTTTTTGTAATTAATTTTTTTTTTTTATTTTATTTTTTTTTTAATATATTTTCTGTTTTGTTTTTTTCAATGCACGTACAATTTTTATGATAATCGCAAGGTTGCTTACAAACTGTCGTTAGTATTATTTACAATTTTATATTACATCTTTTGATGTGTTGGTAAGTACAAAATAATATACTAGTATTGTTAGTAAATCTAATAAAATTAAAATTAATTGGTAAAATTTGCCCATTTTTTGTTAGTTCAATATAAAATGTATTTAGGCTCTCTCAGTTTAGTGGACATTCCAGTAACGCATGTTCCAAATTTCCGTATTCTCCACATAAACAGTATGGATTTTCAGCAATGTCTATTTTGTATTTATAGGATGGAGTTAATGCATGATCTGATCTTGCTTTGTTTATAGTTATTACAAAGTGCCTGTTTGTTACTGAATGGAACCATCTTAATCTTGGAATTTGTTTATGATAATTTTTAAAGTTTAAACCAGTTAACGTGTTATCATATTTTTCCTGCCAATCAGTTATAATTTTTTCTTTAAATAATGATTTTAAGTCAGAATATGGGATACAGTTTGCATATAATACATCTCCGGACAAATGGGATGATTTAGCTAAATTGTCTGCTATTTCGTTACCTTTTATTCCCGAATGTCCTTTAGTCGAAACCACAATTAATATTTTATTTTGCTTTGTTATTTCAAAATTTTCTTTCAGTATATCTAGTTCTAGATGCGAGATCTGTGAGGATGTATTTAAATTTGTTAGACGGTCGACAGAACTTTTACTATCTGTGAAGATGATTTTATTAAATGGATTATGCCGTATATACCTCATTGCTTGCAAGATTGCATATAGTTCTAACGTGTATATTGATGCTTCTTTAGGAAAATTATATTCTTGGTGATGCTTTGTTTTTAAAAAAACTTCTAAAATAAAATATTTTCAATCAGATAATTCAATAAATAAAAAAATGTTTTTCTACACCCGTATTATAATAATGCACTTATATGCCCATAATCCGTTTCATAATGATACCCATTATGATACAGATTTTTCATTATGATACAGATTTTTAATCAATAGAAACCTACAATTTTTCAATCAAGCATGATGTTTGACGTTTGTCCTAAATTCCTATGTAATTGTTTTAGTTGTCAAAACGTATTAAATTTTCGTAGATAGCTAAACTTCGATAATTATAATATTAAAATGTCTGATATCAGCGATATAGAAGACTCCTCCACACATATCGGAGAAAGGAGAAAATGCAGTACAAAATATTTTGCCACAAAAATCTGTGGTAATACCAATACCCAAGGTAATACCATTAATTACAATTTTGTAGAATTTTTTATAGAAATACGAGTAATTACTGTTATTGTGTTCAATGCCAATATAAATAGAATATTTATAGGTCTTGATTATTTATCGGGTGTAGAAAAAATAGCGTATGCAACTCTCATGTAATGGTTATTAAAACACTCGCATAAACCATACGAAACTCGCCTTTGGCTCGTTTCGTATCCCGGTTAATGCTCGTGTATTAATAACCATCATTACATGATCGTTGCATAATATACTATTATATTTTATGTTGAAAATTTGACAAATAAATATTGGGCGAAAAAGAATTATCCACCACTTGTTGAAGCATACTCAAAACTTCCAAATATCTCTAACGCGGTGCCAACTTTTAAAAAATTACCCATATTTGAATTAAAATATTTGACAATAATATTCAAACCAATTGTAATCGTCCCAACGTATTGTGATATTTCATCGTCTAATCAAGCTATACTTAACTCTGTAATTGGAAAATATATTTCCTTAAAAATATATACAGACGGTTCCAACACAGCAGTCGGAATAGGATATGCTGTATATATTCCAAACAAATTTACTCTTAAACAAAGGATACACGATTTTTGCTCGGTGTACTCAGCCGAAGTCTTTGCTATAGAAAGTGCCTTGGAATGGTTAGTTTTAAACCCATCTAATGCTGTAATAATGTCGGATTCAAAATCTGCGTTAGATGCTATTAGAAATTTATCGTTCAGCAGTTATGCAATGTCTAACACTATGTGTAATATCAAAAAAATGCTCCATCTTTATAACCTCGAATATTTAATTAAGTTTGTTTGTGTTAAAGGTCACTCTGAAATTATAGGTAACAATAAAGTTGATATTTTGGCAAAACAAGCAACAAATCTTTCCAATGTAGTAGATAAAATGAATTATACGGATATAATAAATATTGGTAAAAAATAAATCCGTAAAACTTGTAACCTAAAATGGAATTAATTTTTGCTTAACTCCAATAACCTTTACACCTATATCCACCCTACCTTACCCATAAAAGTTCCACATATACGCGAGTTTAATGTAAATAGATCTTACTCGGTTACCATCACAAGATTAAAATTAAACCATGGAAAATTTCTGGCTCACTTCGATCGAATAGGCATTGTGAGTACAAATCTGTGCTCCTGTGATAATGAGACGTTTGCAGACCTAAATCATATTTTTTTCGCCTGTTAAAATCATCAGAAACACTGTTCCGATCTAATTCTAGAATTACGTAACAAAAACATAGAATAACCCATAAATTTTACTCATCCTCTAAGTACTCAAAATAAAATCCTATTTGATTTATTAGTAAATTTTCTTCGAATAATACAATTAAATATAATGTTATAGTCAGCGAATTAGGATATCGCCGCCACTGGGGTCGACAATACCATGTCTACCCATTTCAGTGTCCAGGACCAGGAGAGAGCGGGGATTTGACTTTCGACCAGTCGAACGCTATGAAGTGATAGGCAATATGCCGTTATAGACATTCTTTATTTTGTTTCTTAAATAATTACATTTCAAACATTGTTTACGAGATATTTAATAAAACGTTATAAAACCATGGTAACACGTGTTTTATGAAGTGGCTATATAGGGTATTATAGTATACAGGGTGATAAATAATTTAAAAACAATAATTTTGAAGTTAATTATTTTAACTTCTAACAATATGATATTAATTTAAATTATTTCAAATTTTCTTTATTTCAATTTCGGTATTTTAATACTTATCTATGGCAAATGGATATAATTACCAAAGCCAAAACTTAAGGAAAAAAAATAGACTTTGCCAGTGGCGTAAAGCATTGATAAGTAACACCTTCCTCTCTAAATTTTACGCCACTGTCCAAAAATTTATTACTAGAATTTCAAATTTTATATTTTTAAAATAAATCATGTAGGTACTCTTGTTGGGAACTTATAAAGTGATTGGTTTTCGAGATATTCACACTCAAAGGTTGATATTCTTAATTTTTTTTATTTTGATATTTTGGATTTTTTTTTTTAAATTACCAACAAGAATACATGATTTATTAAAAAATCATCAAAAAATTTAAAATTATAGTTCAAATAAGTTTTTTGACAGTGGTGTATGCGTATTTTAAGACACCAAAAACTTTTTCGCAATTTAGTAAAATTCTACTTAGTAATTAAAAAATTATAACCAGAATTTTTAAACCTAATATTTAAAAAACGAGTAACATTTTACTCAATCAAGTTTTGTTTATTCGAGTTATTTTTAATTAGAGAATCTTCAGTTTTTCTATATCTCATTCATAATCACATATCCTCTACTTTTGGAATCGAATATTAGAGGTTAATAGGAAAATGCCATAATATACAGGATATTCCATTGAAAAAGATATACGGTGGCCATGGGGAAAAGAAAGTGGCAGTTACAACGAAGAAAAAGACGTCTAGCTTTACATGTTATGATTTTTTATTATTTTTATATTTTTTCATATAAAACACCTTTAAATTATTTAGGGTGTAACTGCCCCTACGTCTAAATTTCTGAGCTATAGCGTACGTAATTGGTCTAGTCTTGCCAATGTTGAAACTTTAAATTTGTTATACATTACATTTTGAAGTAAATTGGAATATTGCAGTCTAATTTGGTCATCTGTCTATTAGAATTCTATACAAAGCATAGAACGTATTCAGCGAAAATTTCCTAAATACATTTATTTTAAATCGTTACGTACGTATGAATCTATAAAATTAATCAATGAATTTGATATAGAACTTAGTGAAAGGCGCAATTGTATATCCCTTTTTTTGTATAAATTAATAAATAAAATTTAAATGTTGTATATTTCAAGTAAACTTGATGTATCTATACCTAGAATTAGAATTAAATCGCGTAATGAACTGTTTTTTTATAATACGCATTGGCGAACGAAAATCTTAGTTTGGTCCCCAATTAAAACTATGTTCAATATTTTTAACAAAGTATGGCAAAACTGTGATATTAATAACGACTAAAAGAGCAATAAATAATTTTTGATATTTTCTTTTTTTTTGTATGTTTTATTTACTCCTTTATATTTGTATTTTTTTTATTAGTAAATTTTCTATTTTATGTTATTCGGTAAACTTGTTAAAAATAAATGCATTATATAAATATTAGATATCAATGTTCTTTTATTGCTCGTTATCACCAACTAATTACGCAACAAAAGGTTCATATCATAAGGGAAAAAGAATGTGCGATATTATTAGTTATAGTAAAAACAGAAAATATAGAATATTTATGATAATAGACTTTTAAAATTATTTAATTTTTTACTATTTTATTTTAAACGCGAATATAACCCAGAATTTAATTCTTATCTTTAATAAAGCGGTATTTAAAATTGAACCTCAAAAATTCACAATGATTTGATATTTTTTTAAAATTGTCTATAATAATTTAAAAACTACTTACCAAAAAAAATTTCTACGCGAGGCATAAGCTTCCTCCAATTATGAACCTTCCAAATAAGATTACTAACGTCACAAATATAAAACGGCTCATCTTGACTGGGTTTTTTTATAATCTCTTCTATGGCCGAATAAATATCTTTATTGGAATCTAAAACTAAACTTCTGATATCCATAGCCATGTTTAAGGATAATTTTCACAGTTGTGAGTGAAAATCAAATCTAAAACCATTAAATATTTAAATAACATTAGGTACCTAAATTAACGAAGCAACTTAATTGATGTTTTATCTATGAATAAATTACAGATTATTTTGTTTAAAATTAATATACATTGGTTTATGACTTTTTTCTACGCGTATGTCATTAAAGGTTAATAATCAACATTCCTTGTAAATGACATTTAACAATAACATGCAAGTAATGAGATATCATAACATACACGTGCGTTTTGATAAGAAAACTTTGGTTTAATCAAATTGTAATCAAATTTTTGTCTACGTACGACTTTAGTTGGTCTATTTACATAGGACCCCGCACTTTTTACATTGATTTTGGGTACTTACAGAATTTGTTCAAATTTTAGTATATTATTTTTCAGGTCATTAGGGGCAACTTTCTTATGGACCTCAAGTAGGCAGCTCTACAAAAGTAAGCAGTTAAGAATTAATATTTTCAAATATATCTCCACCACTCTTTAGTACTTCTTGTCTTTTCCATGAAACTTATGTCATGTGTTACCCTTGTATATAGTTTGTTAATACTTACTTACACTTTGCAAAATAAATTATACATCGTGTTCAAAAAATTAGGAATATCAGTTACTGAAATATGGTGCATTTATTTCATTTTATATTAGATAATTTTTATAAGTAATACAGGGTGTGATAAAACTACACAAACAACTAAGAATTACAAAAAGCATTTAACGAAAAATTGGTATACCTAAAATATTGTAGAAAGTTTTGAAACGAATTCAGTTTTGCTCGTATTATAACCATAGCTCTTTTTATCTAACCAAGTCCCGTTCTAAGCCTACTTAAATGTAGAAATAATTCTACTAACTCTGATTTGAATGAATGACTGAGAAGACATATTCTTATTAAAAAACCCTTTCTGATTTTTATACACAGTACAGTGGTCAATTTATCACTTCTAATTATAATTCTATTTTTGAGGATTTAGAAGGTCAATTTTAGTTAAATTAAAACATAAAAAAAACTTTTACAATTTTTTGATATTTAATCCTTGCCAATTATTGTTTATCTAATCCATACCACTATTACTTTTAACTTGATATAAATTATTTTTTAATTCCTAAAACATATTTTTTTTTAATTCGTTGTTTATTAATCAGATTAATTATAAAAGGATTCTATAAGATAAACGGTTGGCGAGTGTTAGATTAAATAACAGCTAAATTATCATGATAGGGTTAACACGTTTTTATATTTGCAATTTCAGACATTTTCTGCGTTTGTTTATCCATATCGGATACATCTGAGATGTTGTAAATCTTTGATCACGTGATTCAAGTTACGTACATTAGTTAAAAATCTATGTAAAGAAATATATAATAATAATATTTTTATATTAATATTATTTGTCTTCCTGTCACACCCTGTATTATTAATTAATATTATCTAGTATTTAATATAACAAATAAGTGATCAGAAGTCATGTTATTATCATGGTAATACATGAAAATGAATCTTATTTCTGTAATTAATATTTCTATTTTTTAAACACTCTGTATGATTTATTTTAAAATGTGAGAGTAGAAATTAACAAGCTACATATAAGTGTATTTTATACCATAAGTTTCACGAATAAAACATGAATTACTTAAGAGTGGTAAAGATATATATGAAAATATTAATTCTGCACTCCTTACTTTTGACTCCTTCTGACCAGGGCCGACTAGAGGGGAGAGGTAGCCGGGACTAATTCCCGGGGCCCGGGCTTAAATGGGGGCCCGGCAGCGCTGTAAGGGGGGCCCGACAACAGGTTTTTTTTTGTTCTGCATGATAAATTCGACACAAGATGAGAGAGGGAAGTTGTTAAAGTAAAATTAAATACAAGTAGAGGAAAAGTTTTAGCTTAGAGAAGTTTTTTTCAGCAGCTGAGGACCTTTTTTTGTTTTTTTTTTGTTTTTTTTGTTTTTTTTTGTTTTTTTTTTTTAGAAGAAGAAGTAATTGAGGTATAGGGAGAATAGTTTTTTTGATGTAAGTTTTTTTGATCTTTTTTTTTATCTTTATTTTTTTTTATTTATTTTTTTTGGTTAAATATTTTTTTGTCACGGGGCCCGATCTAGAGAATTGTCCTGGGCCTGGCTCTCGGCGGCCCTGCTTTTGACAACTCACCTTGTAGAGCTGCAAACTTGATGTCCATAAGAAAGTTGTCCATTGTGATCTGTAAAGTAACATACTAAAATTTTAACAAATTCTGTCAGTACCCAAAATCAATGTAAAAAGTGCGGGGTCCTTTAGTCATTTAAAAAACATAAAAACTTTTAGCATTAACGAGATATATTTTGGATTAAAAGAGCGATGCCCCTAAATGTCGGCAATATTATTATATAATATTTAAAAGAATATGTCGCACTTTCTTAGCATGCTATGGAAATAAACGTCATGCCATTTATATTGTCAATTTTTGTAACAAAATATGATTATATCCGAACATTTTCTCAACTTTACCTACGAATATGTTTGTTAGCAGTGAAAGTGATGGAATTATGAGCAATCTACCGGAGATTTTAGAAAAAGCTTAAACTGCCACACATAATTTGTTACTGCTAAAATCCAAAGAAAGTTACGAAATCACCTATCAAAAATTTATGGATTAGCGTCACAAGCATAACGTTAAATGCTTTTTTAAAAATGTTTTAAGTGGGCGTAGAAAAAGTATAGTACGTTACGTAATATACTATTACCTTACAGGAAAACTTAACCCATACAGACGAAGGAAAAATCTTAGGATTTATTCTAGTAAGTATACGCAATGATGCATACCGATGATGAACAGCGACTCAAGGGGAATTATTGAAATATGTAAGGGGTTTTCTCGCCACAGAGAAGACGGTTCCTTACGAATGGCGCTGGTTACGGGCGGTTCTCTAGCGCCAGATTTTTGGTTATGGTTTACTCTCGAAACGGCGTCGAAAGTACTCGGGTAACTACAGATGGAGATGAAAAATTCCAGGGGTCGAAGGTCACTTAGACACAGGTAATGGTAGGACACAAGTAACAGGCTTTAATCGTTGCTTGGGCTGATACAGAATTTATCACTAGCTGAAATACAAGGTGGAAATAAAGTATGGAATTAGTAACCAGTAATACGGCAAGTTGTAATATGATAATTGTTATTTTATCTATTTTTTTATAGTGTTTTAAGCTCTAATGATTTTGGGAATAAGTCAAGGTATTAAATATCTCGTATTACTTTGAAAAATAATGTTGGGTACCACTATATTTAAAACTTACTAAACTTGACTATCAATTAGTGATAAAAATATAGAAAATCACTAACCATTAAGATATTATAATTAAACAAAGTTTTAGATAAGGTAGCAACACATTCTAATTCACAGAGAATTACTTATTCAAATTTAGATGATTTATTAAACATAGACCTATCTGTTGTAACAAGAGGTAGTATATAAGGAGTGATTTGTATAGGTGTTCTTCAAAGGGACTCGAACGATACTCTTCGGACAGCACCAAACTCCTAGGTATAAATCTTCATAAAATTAAATCTACAGAAGCTTCCTTAGATGTAACTTGAACCAAACCTCTTGATATAGCTTGAAATAAACTTCTTGATAGGAATCACCATAAACAGTTTCAGATATATCTTGAATTAAACTTCTAAGATATGACTCGAAATGAACTTCAATACAGCTTGAACTAAACTTCTAAACCGTCTAGATATAGCCAAGCTTACAAAATCAGACGGCCTATACGATAGATAAAATTTATTTAGTACATCGGATGACCCAGATAATTAAAAATTTAAATCAACTTATTCGTTGACAGTTCGTTGACAATCGAAATGAAATGGGAACTTTTGACGCAAGACATAAACGACAAATGACATTTGAGTAGAGATGTTGGTGTCAAAATAACGAAAACAGTTCCAACCGTTACAATGTTTGGGTCTAAATAACGAAAACGGTCCCAACCGTTACATTGACACATATTGTGAATAACTATTTACACATTAAATAAAATATATATTTCAACGCCTACCCTTGTTGCGATAATAGTCAATATAACCCTGAACAAAAATAAACAAAACGGACGGTATTGAATCCCAACTAGTCTCAATCAGACGTCAAAATTGAATTAAAATAAAATGAAGGGAAAATTCTAAGAGCGGTCGTAGCAAAAATTAACTATTTAACTGTCGTATCGGGAATTAAACTAAAATGTAGGTACTTTATCATTTCGGTAAGGAAGAATTATCAAGACGGTCGCAGAGAGTGCGAGGAGACAGGATCGCGAAAGAACTACATATACGGAAAGGGAAAAAAAATAAATGTATACCCAGGGTGGCCTATTATCCCACAATGAGCTATTTAAGATTTCTGTAATTTGCAATTTGCACGAAAACATAAAGAATACAAAGGGAAAAAGAAAACTAACGCGGATAGCACCTAATCGAAGAATGAGCTGTTTGTCATCACGAGAACGCTTAGACAGGGACAGGATACTATTTAAGGTTATTTAAATTGACGGTGAAAGAGAAAACAGAACTATTATCAGATGAAAGAAAACTACTAACGCGGATAGTACCTACTCCACAAATGAGCTGATCGTCATCACGAGGCCGCTCAGACAGGGACAGGACACTATTTAAGATTATTTAAATTTGCGGCAAAAGAATAAACAAACTATTAAAAGAGGAAAAACATCTCTTCGAAAACTCCGTTTCTAAATATTCCCAACTTAGTTATAACGCGGCACTTACTAAACAAAGTATTTATCAATGAAATAAAATTTAATTCCCGATTTAATCTACCAAAAAGAAAAGTTTAATTTCTTAAGTCAGACTAATTATCAAAAGTCTAAATCACCGGTATTACAATTTTAAAGAACTAAACCCTATCATTTATTATTTAAATCAAATTCAATTCCCTTTAGAAGAAACGGTATTCTATCTTCAAAGAGCCAACTACTAATATTTATTAATTAATTCAAATTAAATCTTCCTTCCAACAATATTTTTAAAAACGTTATTATATTTGCCAAGAAATAAATTCTAATATTTATTAATGAAACCAA